GTTTTTTCACCTGATTGGCGGACGATTATTGCGAATCGACAAATTAAAAGCTCCTCGAATGGCTTAAATATACCAAGTAAAAGTAATTAAATTAGTTCCGTGCTGGACAAAGAATAACAAGGAAGTGTCGGTACAAAGTTCAGCGGAAAAAAAATGAAATAAAATAATATGCAAACTGTGTGAGCAATCTACGTATGAAAAGCCAACAACAACTGGCGGCGGGAAAAGCACCAGCTGCGGCAAAGTAAACATCAAGTTTTTGGCTGTTTGCGCAGTATCCGGGACTTCATAATTTCATCCGTTTGTATTTAAATTGTAGCGAAGGCTCCACAAAACAGGATTTTCGCATGCCGGAGCTATATGCGTAATGTAAGTATCTCATATTCTGTGAATTTCTTTTCATATTATTCTCAAAGGAACATCTCCTTAACGTTGTTTAAATGCGAAAAACGCTCAAGGCTGACTTTCCAAATGTAGCTGTAAGAAAAGAGTGCTGTTGACTTAACGTAAAGGTTTCAACGGTCACGAAAATAAGTTTACCAGTTAACATATCATATTTTCCACTTCTCTTCGTCAGTTTGAAATACTTAAGGTTTTTATTTCGCTTACTTTTCTGCAAAGTTTTTGTCTTGATGTTGCCTGTGTTGCTATTGTTGACTTCGAAGTTTCCATACGGGCTTTTCCTCAGCCATGTTATCTCTGGGCCTTTGTCTTTCTGGCCGCACTCCGAAGACACTGCCACAAGCACTGTTAGTTTGGCCACAAAAAAGTTGGTATGTTGAGGCAAGGAAACCAAATAGATGAAAAAAGTACACGTAACTCTTACGAAATGGGAAAATAATACTGTGCACTATTACATACACTTTCGAGCATTCCTTTTCCAAAAATAGTTTTGTAAACGACAAGCCGTTTATAAAAACAAAAGACAAAATGCTAACACACCCCTCGGCAGCGTATAAAAATAGAATCAACTTTAAGCAAAATGAGGCAATAAAGATTTATCTCGAAGGGACCGCCGCCAAAGCCAATGCAGCAGATTTGTCAAGGATTTGCGGCTGGGTATTTATTTTGGCTGTCCTGTTTGCTTTTATCCTCCAGTCCTCCGAAAGAATAAAGCAAACAGGGTATAGTTTGCCCATTGATTTTTGAACGAAATTCAAATATATATCTGTGTTTTGTTTGCGCTGTAATCTACGATGTCGCATTCAACATGCATAAATTTTAATTAAACCAAAAATAAAACAGCGCCAGTTTGTTTATCGGTTAAAGTGAAAATTTATTTTGTTTATTTTCCAAGGCAATTTGTTTTTTTGTTGCCTACATTTGAGGGCAGTTGTTATGCCATTTATCAGTTCTTAACGCAGTGATGATTTTAGTCCTCTAAACTGTAACTAAGAGCTTATATACATTGGGAATTCTTTTTTTAAATATGAATGTATATTTTTGGCAACACACCTAGCTAAATTGCTTTGCTTGTTTTTGGCCCACTCACAATCAGAAGTTGTTGGGAAACTATGCACAAATTTGACAGGCTAGAGAAAACTGTTGGACTGCTCATGACATCACTTGAGAAGTACTTGAGAACTTTGGTTACATTACCAATTGCAGTTGCCAACGTGAAGCATCTGGGATGCTTAGGGCTATTTAAATCAACCACGGCATCTTGCGTTAGACACTTCCTTTGTTTTCCCACAACATAATGCTTTCCTTCTGGCAACTACGAAATCTTTTGGTCTGTCAATTATCGGTTTGCAAAGCAGGATTCGTTATATACTAGCTGGTAAACAAGTTTTCGCTTCACGCGCCATGTGCCACCGTTTTGTCGTTTTCTTTTTTTTTTTTTTAAATAATCTCGACGTGAGGCTTTACAAAAAAAATTTGTGCGGTCGTATACATGAGTTGTTTAGTAAAAGATAAAAACGTGATTACGAAACAAAACACTCGGCTGAAGACAAACGCGATGGGCTGGGTGTAAATATTGCGGATATTTGGCTGTGGTGCCTGCCGCCAGTGGCACCATAAATCAAAAAACCGCAGGCCTCGCTTAGGTCATGGGAAAAGTTAAACGGAGAAAATTGGGCAAAACTTTAGTTTTAATGGGCCAAGTCGCGTTTTTCCGCCAGCCTCGATCCAGCTGATTTGATGAAAACGAACGAACGGCGAATTCCAAAACCGCTCCGACACCGAGAGTGCCGCAAACGCGTTAAGAATTATTGATGCCTCATTGCTGATTGTTCTGCGTTTACGCCATTTGACACACATCCCAGATTGGGCAGGGTGTAATCCCAAGTCCCCAAAGTTTCCCACAAAAAGCGACACAAAGACTTGGGCATAAAAGTAAGTGAAGTTGTTTGGTATGTCTAGCGTGTACTTCGCATTCCCCTTCCATTCTCGTCGAGGGTCGTCTTCTTGTGCCACTACAGTGCTCCTAGTCCTCACAACTGACGGAAAAAAATCAACGCTCACATTGTCAGCATATCGAGGCCTACAACACGTCTGCACAAAATTATTGCCTAGTTTGCCGTTTGGGGGCTTCGCATTCATTGCATTAAATTGTATTTTTGATGTTTGCGCAAAATATGCTAAAACAATAAATACAGATTTGGCTGATTGCGAGGTTTCAGTCGCAAGAGTGCGTGGTATTTCCAATATGCAACGGTGATAAACTTTATTCTTCAGAGACTTATTTATATTTAAGCAATATACATTGTATTGTATATTCCTGACTGTGAGCAATCGAAAATATGAATATTACAAACTTTTCTTTTTAACCATCAAGCTTAAAGTAAATTGGTTATAATAAATACGACATAAATGTATTATCAAAATTATCGACTTTTATAACATTGTGCTGTGGCTAAAACCTTGGCTTTTAACCAACTCAATGTATAAATATATTTAACTACCACGTGAATTTGGCAGATTATTAATATGTGTATTCCCCTCAAGCATTTTCACACGTTGACAACGACAGCGAACGAGATCTGGGAAAAACAAACAAACATTTAAATGATTTTTATGGGTACACATTTGCACTCCCAACATTAAACTTTAATGTTGCGGTCCTTAAACTTTTCACTTTTGTGCGTATTTTTGAAGACTCGTGTGTGTCCTTGTGCGCAACCAATAAAAACTCATTTTGTTTGCTTGCCATGATCTTAGCTTTAGTTACGGAATGTATTCTGTATTTTTTACGCATGCAAGGCTACTTTTGGGTAACCGACTATTTTATAAGTCTGATAATTCCATTAGTTCTGCTACATCTACGAATGGATGGCTCTTGAACAAAGACTTTTGCATATTGCCTTTGTGGTCCAGGGAAGTTAAGTGATTCACGAGAGTATCGCCCATTGCCTTCCCGTTCTTGGGAACCTATTTGCATTCATGTTTTTGCGCTTTTTCCCCTTGGTCAGCGCAATATCTCTCTGTCCCCAGAAATTACTTTATGGCAGGAAAGGCATTTCGGTTTTAAGATGTTTACCTAAGGAAAGTTGCAGACCAAAGTCAATGTTGGTTTGGAGATGAGTGGACGCAATTGAGCCGGACTGAGGATTGCGATTATGTGGTTCTGAGACTTCTATTCTGTCTTCTGTTTTCCTTTCGGTTTGTTCCGGATTATTCTTACTAAGCTCCCTTTTCTGCTGTCTATTGTTGGTCAATATTGAAATGCTCAAGTGTGCTCTCGTTTTTGATTGCGATACTCGGCTGACCATTTTTTGGTTTTTTTTTTTTTTTTTAATTTTGCTTGAAAAGATTTTTGTTGATTTAATCAAATGTTGACATGAGTTAAACCACATTAAACTTGTTGGTCCCTTTAAAGTGGAATCACATCGTAGGACAAACAATTCGGGAAATCAATTTCCATTAGATTAACTTTGAATCGTAAATATCCATTGAGATTTGGTCGTTAGACTGCATTAATTTATTTTGTCTCTTGCCTTTTTTAGCACGTGCCTCGGCATGAGTTAGCATCAAGGGAGTCGTTAAAGCGCAGTTTAGCCCAAAAATGTATCATTCCAATAATCGAACCCCCCGGACTGTATAAATACATTAAATTCTTATGATTGGGACAAAAAGTCGTTTATCAATTGGACCTTTTTGTTGAACAATCGGTTGTATCGGCACCATGATGAAATTATTTTCAATTGCGCAACCTTTCCGTATCAACTTTGTGCCCTGACAGAACAAAAAACGTCAATTATAAAAGAGTAAAATCTGTGTAAAACCAATTTTTCGGTGTGCAATCAGAAATCGAGGCAAAGATTTATTGCCTTTAAGCTTCCTTCACGATTGTCAGGTGAATAAAAATACCTGCAGAATAACCGACAATCACGAGTATCATGTGGGTGGTGGTGGAATCCGAAAACTGGTTGCTCGCAGACTTGAGTTCTTTTCCATTTGCATAAGCGCTTCCGTTGAATATTCATACACGGCGCTCAGAATTTAATAGCGGCAATTGCAGATGGGAACATGAGAATGAATTATATCGACACCATTTCAAGGATTCTTTATGATTTAGGTATGCTATGACTATTTTAAAGAAGGATCTTTGTTCTTGTTTATATTGTTTAGCGTTAAGTATTAAGCTATGCATGATAGGTAAGGCATATTTTACAACTTTTTAGGTAATGTGTGGACTCAATTTTTAGGCCCTTATTTTCTTAAAATTTAGTCCAATTTTAAGAAACGTGTTGACTTAATTATTAGGACATTGTTTACTTAAAATTAAGTTCATTGTAGAAATAAATACATTTTGACAATGTTCGTACATTTTTGGTAATTGGGCTACATTTTCAGGCACCTGTTTTCTTAATATATAGTCCATTATAGAATTTTAGAAAGAAAATGCATGTAACATAAGCATTTGGCCGCTCGTGCTTTATGTGAGCAAAGTTAATTTAGAGAGGTTATATTATTTAATTATAAGTTCTATTTTTTGATAAATCTTCTTAAAAAACATTTACATCTTTGAGGTGTAACTTTGTTTATTTATTTACTATCCCTTCAACAGTTTTATTACCCCTTCTTTTGAGTTAATTGCATACCCATTACATAATATTATGAATCACTTTGGCCTGTTGTAAGCAAGTCGCAGTGATAGCACATCGCTGAAGATGCCCTGCGTTCCAGGCAATCACCAAAAATCGAGTTTGTGGATCGGCTCTCGATGAAATTCCAAAGCCAGCACAAGTGGGATATTGTTGATCCTCCACATCGCAATCAATGAATTCCAGAGGAAGAAGTCGCAGTGGAATAGTTCGTGTCATGACCAAAAGGCATAGCAGCACAAAGGATTGCTCCTTGAAGATGACGGCCATGTAGAGACCCAGAGGGTCCATGGCAAAGGTCTGCGGTTCACCGCAATGCCTCTGCTGGCCAGAGCAGATGGTGACATCCCGTAGATCCACAACCAATTCGATGCTCCAAACGGGTTTTGGGCATAAGAAAACTGTGGCCTCCGCATCGTTGGTACACGAATAAACGCGAGTGCTGCCCTCCCGCACAAACAGCAAAAAGGAGTTGCTAGTGGTCCAGACAGCCGTTTGAATGCGGCTTTGGTTCAGTATTTGTTCCGACTTCCACTTGGATCTGTTCAGCTGGCAGAAACTGGCACCAGTTTCGCAGGATACGCAAAACAGGACCTGAAAGTTGGGACTGTAGCGCAGCAGGGAAAAAGCGCTCAGTCTATCCGGTGCTGGGATCAAACGAATCTTCTGCCGACAGTCCGGCTCCCACAGGATAATGTGCGAGGATCCCAGGGCGGCACTGATCAGGATAGTGCCGTCTTCATTCCACTGCAAGCTAGTCACATAGGTGTGCCCCTCGTCCTCGAGGATTCGCATGTGATGGCTGCCCATCATATTTCGAATGTTGTGATCCACTTTGGAGCGTCTACATTGTCGCCACAAACAAATGCCCGCCGCACATCCCACAGCCAATTCACAGCCATGAGACCAGGGACGAAAGGCGGCACAGGTGATGTCATATTGTTGGCAGGACTGCAGACTGGCGGGTGAGCAATTCCTTTCGTCATGGAGCAACACTTTGTCCTGGTTGGTTAAAAGAGCCATCAACACGCTGCTTGGATGGAACGCAATGCATCGAATGGCCGCCGTTTTCCAGCCTCTTGTTTCGCTAATCCTATCCAAGCATTCCGGATCGGCAGTAAGTGATAACTTTACGTTGCAAATGGGCCGATAACAAAAAATATTGAATTGAGCCACCTTTACTAGAAACCATTGCCAATAATCTTTGGCCAGATTGAGCAGTAAATGCGAAAATTGTTCCCATGAATCGGGATTATTAGGTCTAGCCTCCTCAAAAGTAACACATTCTCTATTCAGACCATCCATAGTTTCCCTTTTTTATTAGGTTTATAACTTCCTTTTGTTAGATACAATATTTTTCAATTATAAAACTTAGCTTGAGTATATGTCACTGTACTTTTAAGGTTGCTAAGAACTTGTGAAACAATTTTTTTTTGTTGTAAGTTGTCTCCCACTTCCGACATTGCTTATTTTGCCTTTCTTATTTCTAGTTGCATTCCCCTTAATGGTTTCACTTGCCTCCTATCGTTTTCCACTTTTTCACACTTTATCTAACCGGCTATTAGTTTTGATAAATGGCTTTGGCGATGCAGTTTCTGGTCAGCGCTGTCAGCAGTTTACCTCATCCCATAGCAGCGATATAAAAATATGTTTTATTTTCTCTTCCCGCTTTGGGAAATTTCTAAAAATGCCTTTTTATGCCTTCTAGTCTTTGCCATTTTTTAATTCCAAAAAGGCTTTAACAAATATGCGGGCTATAAACTAAATCTCTTCTTAATAAGTTCCGATTTATTTAGTATATTCGACTTTCACCTTGTATAGATTTTTTGCGCGCTATTCGGATTTTTAAATTTTGATGGCCGCTTTTCAGCATGAAAGAAAAAAAACATATTTAATGGGAAAAATTATTTTAGCAAAGCCTTCGTTTAAACAAAACAAAATTTACAACTTCTGAGAGAAACGCTAGCAAATACACGCTTTTCACATAATTCACTCATATGAACCAACGTAAAGGCAAAAAAAAAAAAAAATGTAGGACACCAAAATAAAATGAAATTATGCGGGTGGAAAACCATAAATTGACTTTTGGACCAGCCAACAAAAAACAAAATAAAACTTTTTGCTTTTGGGCGTTTGTATGCGCGGAATAATTCGCAAGTTTTACGGTATACTTCGCTTTGATCTGCCGCATTAATATTTTATTTCTTGTGTATATGTGCTCAGCCGTTTCAGACATCCCATGTTACATGCCTGGTATGTTTCTTGCAAATTGTCTTGTCAACATAAAGAATAAAATGAAGGGCCAAAAAAAAACCCACAGAGAAACGAAACTTAGCACCCAAAAGCGACTGATGTGGTAGGGACAGCTTCAAATGAAGCGTAAATAAAACAAAATAGTGGAGGATGTTCGCTTTTACTCTCCGGATAATTTCCGTCGTTTTCCACATAGTTGAGTTCTCGGTTATTAAGCTGTCCGTTTGACTTTTTAACAGATATGATCTTTGATATTCCTAACGCACATTTGATTTTCTAGGTTCGTTGAGAACCTTTCGAGGTCTATTAACATGGCATTTGGGGATGAGTGCCGAAAACTGGAAGTCATGAATCTATTATTTAGTTACTTAACAAAATGTGGAGCTCGGCTTTAAAATTGATTTTAAACAGACGTCCGTCCATCTAGCCAACTCATGGGCATTATCTGGACAGCTGTGAGCGAGCGGACAAAAGAAAATATTTTTATTTAGCCTTTTTGAAACAGCACCTCCCGCACAACAAAATAAAAGCTCAGCAGGGCCAACAAAAGCCAGGGGTTAGTATACTACTATACCATACTATACAATGCCCGCATACAATTGTTCCGGCCGCTCGGTGGGAATACGGAATGCTTTTGTTTACAAATGAAATGGAAGCTCCTTTTTATGGGCCAGCATTTTATGTGTTTATGTTTTCGACTTATACGCCGTCAACTGCTTGACCGTTTTATTGATTTAGTAGCCTGGCAGAGTATCATCGGCATTTGGCCCATCCTTTGGCCTTGTTTGACCTGCCGGCTTTTATCGCACTCGGTGGGTTTTTCAATTCAACATGAATTTTCGCAACTCCATTTGCTTTGCCCTTTGCCGGTCATTCAGCACCGCCACTTGACACTCTGCAACTGAGCATTCAGTTTCATTGAATTATAGAATTCCGGAAATGTTGCTGCAAATTAATAGGCAATTAACGTCATGGACAGCGCTGAAAGCCTGCTGGACTTAGCATACCCTTTGAATTATGGCAGGCTCTGAGATTTAATCAATAAAATATGCGCCACAATCAACACATTATCGTACAAATGTTTTTTCATGTTATGTAAAAAGTTAACCTTTATATTCACACGCCAGGTTTCAATTAAATTAATTTTTAATATAATCAATTCATCGAACGAGGTAAAAATGCATAATTAAAAATTAATTTGGTTTTTTATGAACAGATTTAATTAAGCCTAAAGTTCGACAGGTGCAACATATTCAACTGAAACATGAATAACAAGCCATGGACAATGAGCTTTCTGATTAGTTTTAAGGGAATTAGCAAACATCATTTTGCTTAAGCAAATGCGACCAAGCATACTTATCCATTTGATTGGTTACCAAATAGACAAGCAATCCTTGCCGAGCCCAAGGCCACACAATTTAATCCAATTGCAGTGCTAACATTAGCCATTAAGCAAAGCCATAAATTCACCATATTACTGAACGTATAAAGTACTCAACTTCGGTATACCGAAGCCAAACGAGCCATAAATTTTAATAAGCACTCAATAAAGTAACTATGGGGTTTTATGCGCCAAAGGAGCTCCTCCATGCGAAAGACAGGCTTTTAGCGGCAAAATTAGTCATCTAATCATCGTCGCCTCCTATTAGTTGGTAAAATTAAACGGGTAATAGTGTGTGAACGAATTCTAATAATTATAAATCATGTGCGCACACTGCGGGCTTAGCAACATTAGTGCTTAATACAATACCTTACTGCACAAATATTAATCTTGCCTGTCTGGTTTTACCAAATATTCTACAAATTAATTAACAATTTTCCATTTTAACAATCATAACAAATGAGGGTTTTGCATGGGTTCTTTTCCAATTTTGTGTTACTCTTTCTTTTGATAAATTCAAACAATATATTTTTATTACAGTTTATTCATGAACTGGGTTTTGGCCAACTTCATTGTGTTCGAATTTTATCATTATCATAGTAAATATCATTCATTTAAGAAGTTTCATAATATTTTAGTTGAGAAATGAAAGTTTACAGCTCTTTAATAATAAGTATGTATTCTAGCATTTTTAATGAACGCATATGTGTTCTTGCGTAAATAGTTTTAAAAAGTCTTCATTAAAGGCATACTTTTTCCCACTTTCAAGCCATTCCATAGATGCGTTCTGCAACTTGCAATGAACAACACTCGACACATAACTGAAATTCAAGGGTTGAATTCATGACATAAATTTATTCATTTAAACAGACATGTTGCTCTAATTATGCACAAACTATGAAATGCTGGAAGGAAACCAAAGAAAGTATTCTGATATAAATGGTTTCGCAAGTAGAGTCTGCATAGGAGATGAAAAATAATTAAATTTTTTTCAAATAGTTCTTCATTACTTTAAATGGCATGTTCCGTCACATTTTTCTCAAAGTTAATAAAATCGCCAATTATCTAAATGCACAGAGCGGTTTCGTGTTCGCGGCATTCTGGTTTCTGTGTAGATGAGGCATAAATTATGACTTGGACCACTTTTCGTGCATTGCGTATAAATCAGAAAGCACAAACAAAATACGCATAGCCAACATAAAGCATTGCCTACTGCTTTTTATGGGCCCAAAGTTTGACGGGCATACAATAATTTATTAGGAAAGTCAGCGAATTGTAAAAGTCTCGACCAGAAAACGGCACCGCCAGATTGCCAGCCCAAAGTAGCGAAATGTAGCTTTCAAATTGCAAAAGGCAATCTTACTTTTGGCCCTCTGGTTGTGTGGGCGGCGTCGAAATTTCACCGCTCTCCATGTCAGTGGTAACTCAATTAGAAAATTTAATTACGCCGCAAGGCAGGCGCCAGGAAGCGTTTTTATACACATTTTCCTACAATGTGAAGAGCTTGTTGAAATTAACTTTATTATACCCCCGATATGTGTGCAGTATATGGTTCTGCGAGGAGCGGTTCCAGCCAGATTGTTTTAAAAACAGGAAAACATTACTGAAACTCAAATATGAATAAAGTTTTCTTCCTTTTTGCGATAAATAAATACCCATCGCAAGGATACGAAATGACGGTACCGTTAATTAAAAATCGCAGAGTTTACATAAGCGAAGCCTGGCTAACAAAACTTTGCCGGGCAGAAGAAGGTATAAAACAATCCCAACACCAATTTACCTTATCAATCAGTACTCCACAATGGCTTAGGGCCGATTGGGTGGCAAAAAGGGTGTTTTTGACGCTTAATCAAGCGCAAAGTCCACCGAATAACCTTTTGGCCAAGTTTCGTGAAAGCGTTTACCTTCGCTCAGGCAACCTTTGACCTTCCGGTTGGGTCGATGGCTATCTAGCAAGTTGTTCGCCTTTGTGGCGGTAATTTGTTGTTACACGTGGTCGACCTGCCGTTTGCTTTTTGGTTCTTAAATGGGGCGCATCATTAGTTGCAGTCTCCCTTTTTGGCTCGCGATCTATTATTAATTGGCCACCGGAGAAACTTTTCCGCCTATTTGTTTTTCAAGTTCTCCTTCGAAACTTTTGTGCCTTGGCCAGAGTGTTTCAATTATTAACACTTGTGCGTCCCCGCTACGTTTCACTAAATAATTAAATGTTTGGTTTATACTGTTTCTCTTTTCCATAAATATTGAATAAATATTTTCTATTTAATTACAACTTTATCCTTTTCAATTGTGCCCGCGTCTTCGGCCTTAAAAGTGTAGTTGATGGCTAGCAGTCTTAAGATTCAAGAGTTGATTAAATATTCAATTTGCTGGCACTTTGTGGCATTTTAAAAGGGATTGTCAAGCGGTTAGTCGTTTAATGCCTTGTCGTCTAAAAATACTATTAAAAAAACATGAATCAGCAAGCTTTGGAAAATCATTTTATATGCGCATAAGTAAATACGTGGACATATGTAAAAAACGTTTTATACAAATGTGAACAATGGATCTTTAATTAGAAATTTGTATTGATAAATTAATCATAATCCGAAAGCTAATAAAAACAAAAACTTATTCAAATTGAAAAAGTCGTAGCTGCAAAAAAAGAAATAATTAATAATGCCATATTTAATCGAATTTAATTAATTTGCACAACCATATTTCGGTCTCACCATTGGAATCCAATGGTTTG